AAAAATGTTATATGTTGCTTGGTCTACTTTGTCGCCGTAATGGTATAGCATTACTGTTTTCAAGTTATTTTGACGACCTTTGTGAGCAAACAGCACCGCACGTTTCACTTGCACAGATCGGTAATTATACCTTCATTAGTCTTAAGCATTTCACCTTAGATAAATATTGTTAAAAGGAATTTATATTCTAGCACATTTTTCTTTCTAATCTATGGTAGGTACAGGAAACACCAATTGGTAGTTTTTTTTTTTTTTTTTTTTTAATAAAATTTATCAACTTATGGCAAATGAGGACCCGTTGGCCTGTAGCCGTTCTCATCGGCAACGAAATCCACTCTGTACTGTTTTCCATCGGGTGCTGTCCAACTGTAATAACCCTCTACTCTCCATATTTTTTCGCCAGTGCCTTTGTCCACCAGTTCCGCACTTTCATCGCGTTTAATACCATCACTGGTCTCAAAGCTAAAATACAAATTATGAAATATCAGTAAAATTAGCCTAGGCATACAGAAAAATAAAGTACCTAATACAAAATAATTACCAAAATAAAAAATAAAAACTAAAAAATGCAATAAGAAGGCTGATTAAGCAAATCACGATGCACGGAATAAAATATATGCAATTATTTACTTAGAAGGTTATTATTTTTTCTAAGATGAGTAATTACTTCCTTATCGGCAAAAGGAGCATAAAAAAACTTGTTTTCTTTTACCTGTTAGTACGTTAAGCAAACGAGTTAAATATACATAAATTTGTGTTTCATTCAATATTAACTGTTAAATGACCCCATTAAGCAACACGCTTTAGGAAATTTGTATTCCGAAAGGGTAACATGTTTGATATTTTTGTGATGACGACACTTTGTTGCATTCATTTAAAATATTTGGACCGCAGCATTTTGGAATTGTTTTTTTCTTTTTTTGTTATTTCAGTTATGGGACTTGTGAGACATACATGCAAATGTTATAATAAAAGCACGTCCAGTTTTTATATTTATATATCTTTTACCGACGGAACCCGATTTTGGGACAAACCATGTAGTTTTGTCCAGCTTTTTTACGATAGGGTAAACCTGTAAAGCACGGGCCAAAATGGCCAGACTTAAGCCCGATAGGTTAAATCAGTTAAGCCTAGGCTGAACAAGTGATCCTAGTATGAATATTAACAGTTCAGTGCGCTTCAAAAAATAGCCCACAGTATTTTTGCGTCCAACTTGCTTCCGTGTTCAGTCTACTCTTCACTGGTTTCTTATATCGGCCAGACCCCAGGTTATACCGCGTTTTTCCTATTATATGTCTGTATGTATATTAGGGTAGTCCAAAACATGTAAAGTGGGAGTTTGAATGTCTCACCCTCTAGGATTGTTCTATATCGAAAGAAATATACCGCTATTTTTTATTAAAAAAATACTTAGAGGTCGCTCAAAGCCCTCAAAATTTTTCATGTATTTTATATGGGGTCAAAAAAATAATAATTTTCGGAATAATTATATAGAATTATTGAAAATCAGTATTTTTCGATCGGAAAACTCTGGTTCTCTTCAGGAGACTTCCAACAACAACAATACCCAATTGCTTATTTAACCATTTTTTAATACTAAAGATTTTTTATTTATTCTCCCATTGCATTTTCTCGGGGTTTTGGCGGATATGTAAAATATAGTTACTATGAAAAAATGGTTAAATAAATAATTGGGTATTATTATTGTGAATATCCTGAAGAGAAACAGAGTTTTCCAAACGAAAAATATTGATTTTCAAGATTCTATACCATTTCTACGAAAAATTTATTTTTTCCCATATGAAATACATAGAAATGTTTGACCGCTTTGAGCGACCTCTAAATACTTTTTGATTTCAAAATAAAAAATAGCGGTATATTTTTTCGGTATAGAACCATCATAAGTGGTGAAAGTATTAAAATTCAGACTTTAGTTTTCACATGCATTTTTGGACCACCCTAATGCATGCATTTACGGGGTAGACACTCGAAGTGTTACCAATTAAAAACGCTATAATTTTGTCTGTTTTTCTTTTCAGGGTTTATAAAAAATTGATTACTGTTCCAAATAGCCACCTTTTGCGCGGACAATAGCATCGAGTCTGTACGGGAATGTTTGAGATGTTGCACGAATGTCGCTTAGAGAAATTTTAAATTGAACAAGGACTTAAAAGTTAAAAATCGTCAAATATAACATGAAAAGATTTCAAACGATGATTTGTTACCTTCGGCTTCTGGGGCAAAATTTAGAAAAACATTAAAACAAGAGGCCGGTAGGGTGACGCTATTGTTGATTATTGCGTGGCTATTCGGACTGATTCCATTGCCACTGCAATGTTGCAAATGAGCAGATAATTTTCTATGCCTTTCTATACCTAACTCGAGACTTTAAAGTTTTTTTTCGCGCGCGATATGCACTTCTCTTATTTAATGCAAGCTTCACATTTCTAAATATAATGTTTTATAGAAATTTTAATTTTTTCTTTTTTTATCACAAACCCCCCAACTCACCTAAAATCATATCCATCAAGTCCAATGTTGTCATTATCGTAAAACAGAATGCGCGCGTGTGCAGAATCGTCAAGCGGCGCTGCGAGATGGATGGCTATTAATCCATAAAGCACCATTATGCTCAATATTAACTTCATTGTTGAAAACAAAATATGTATGCACGTATGTATGTATGTATGTAGTTTTATTCGTTTGTTACTCCTTAGTACGCCTAAAGTTTTGGTCTATTTATGTACAATTTCACGTTAATTGTTATCACAACTATGAGCACGAAATAATAGAGTAAGATTTAGCAGCGCGTGTTGTCTTTTATAAGAAAATTCTAATTGCTAATCCAGCGAATAAATGCAGACAAGAATTAAAAATATTGTATGGAGAGCCAGCTATCCAGAGATTCAGAACGATTGTCAAAATAGCGAGAGTGCAAATTTAGCATACGAGTATTATGAGCTTAGCATATTTAGCAAAGAAATTTTAATATTCTGCATCTAGGAAGTGGCGATTTAGTTTGTTTATGGGGCGTTCCATACCAAAATGGACGGGGTTCACACTTCATGGGTTTGAATTGTTTAAAATGTTTAGGGTTGATGGATAAACATAAATAATAAATAAATATGAAATTTGAGCTTGATTAATATATTTTTAAAAACTTTACAGCACAGAAACCAAAACAAATCGATTTAATAGTTTTCCAAATATCTCGAGAACGGGACGAGGAAAAAATTAAAAAAATCATACATACACACATCAAAATTCTCTATGAAAAAAAAATATTAGTTAAATTTTTTCTTGAAAAATTTTTGACATACAAATTTTTTGACACAAAAAATTAGTTTTTGAAAATATGCCATCTGAAAAAAATTAAAAAAAAAATCACAATGGTAGCTCTGAGTATTGCGTAATATTTAAGTATAGTGTTATGGGGTGCACTCTACAATAATTTGAGTTATAAATGTTTTTTTACACCGAAGTTGAGAAAAATTAGTAAATTATAAATTTACAAATTTTTTAAGTTTTATTTTAGAATTTTTTTGAGTGACTGTGCAGTTTTGTTGCCCATTAAATTTTAGTATAACACAGTGCAAGTGTTAGGAGATTGCAAAACTGGCGATAATTTTTTTTTTTTAATTTTCTTTGAAAACGGTTTTGCGCATTTTCTTCCATAAGAAAAAAGGGCAAAAGGTCGCCAGCATAAAAAATATTTAACCTTCAACGCATTTTTGCAGTAGCTTAAAACTCGCACTTTATTGTACTAAAATTTAATGGGCTACAAAACTGCATAGTTACTCAAAAAAATTCTAAAAAAATTAAAAAAAATTGTAAATTTGCACTCATTTTACTCAATTTCGGCGTACAAAAAAATTCATAACTCAAATTATTGTAGAGTGCACCCCATAATACTATACTTAGATATCGCGCAATGCTCAGAGCTACCATTGTGATTTTTTTTTTAACTTTTTCTGAAATGGCATATTTTTAAAATCTAACTTTTTTTATCAAAAAATTTGTATGTGAAAAATTTTTGAAGAAAAAAATTTAATTAATTTTCTTTTTTAATTTAATTTCTTTTCATGGAGAATTTTTATGTGCGTATGTGTGACTTTTTCAAATTCTTTCCTCGCCCCGTTCTCGAGATATTTGGAAAACTCTTAAATCGATTTGTTTTTGTTTTTGTGCTGTAAAGTTTTTAAAAATGTAATAATCAAGCTCAAATTTCATATTTATTTATTATTTATGCGTATCCATCAACCCTAAAAATTTTAAACAAATCAAACACATGAAGTGTGAGCGCTGTCCGTTTTGGTATGGAACGCCCCATAGACAGTACAATGTACTCAATAAAGAGAAGAGCACAAACCAGCTACAGTTTTGCAATTCGCTTTGAGTTGCAAATTAAATTTATGAAATAACGCTGTACAATTAATTTGGTGAAGAATATATTGACCGGTTATATTTTTGGACTATTAATGTATGGCTATTTTTGACCGGTTGCATTTCAAATGCGCATATTTATGTATGGATGCTCTGTTTTCTTTTCTTGTTTTCTTGTGCGATGAATAGTATCTAAGTGTTTAAGAATTGAAACTTTTTTATGCGAAAATACACAATAAGACTTCAAGCGCAACATAAAATTTGCATTAACTATTTAATGAGCCACTCAAGTGCGATGCTTCGTCAAGTCGTCATCTTTCGTGGGCTACATTGCGTTGAAATAAATTATATGTATACAGGAAGTAAAATTTTTGCAATAAATTCTTTAAATTGGCAAAAATTATAAACTTAAGAGATTTGGATCAAACACTTTTTAAAACATGCGATTAATTTAAAGCGGCCATGCCAAATAGCAAATTGTTGAAAATGCCCAATAAGAGAGAATTGATATTAGGGTAATTTCGTATTGATAAGAAATATAGGCCAGCTCTCCCTTACATTCATCCACTAGCTGAGATCTAACAGAAGTAGAAGAAGGTGCCTGGATAGCCGCTTGGCTATCCGAGAGGATGCTCACCTTATTGCCACCTTAACAGCAAACGTTTCGGCCTGGAAAACGCTTGCATAGTCTGGTAGGCGGAAGGATAACTTTAGGTTATATTGCTCAATGAAAACCCCAGCACCAACTCCGCATTTCATCTTTGACCCATCCGTGAAGTTAGTTAAGCCCTGCCAGAACCCGAAATTTTCCTGATTCCAGTCACTGCGGCTTGGGAACTTCGTGCGGGGTTTATGGTGAACCCAGGTCTTCGACAGAATATAGTCCACTGACTATGGCATCGCTTTAATTTCAGACAGTATTGCGTCAAGGATGGAACCGTGCCCGAACGGTCTTTCCTTCCAGAGCCCCAGGGCATGCAGTCTGATGGCGCAGTTATCATTGTGTGATTTTGCCTTGTCAAGGGATTTACTTAGGCAGCGATCGTTGGTCCTTTGTGATACCACCACAAACGGTAATTTTTGAGTTAAAGCAGCGGGCGGATGCTAGTCTCGGAGAGGTCTTCCGATCTAGTTAGAAAGTGCGCACCCAAGTGTCAAAAGTTTTTGAGGAAGTGTTAAGATGCAGCTGCGACAAAAGTGATATTTAATCTAAGCACATTAATCCAGATAGGAAAGTGACTAGTCAGTACACCTATCATAATCGAGAGATCCGGCTTCGCACTTAGGGAGATCCCTAGACCGTTGCCGGTTCAGCTTCGGACAGAATTATCTCCCAGTAGCTCATGATTTAGTTTTCCCACAACGTTCGCTGAGTTCACCTGAGCCCACTCTCTCGGTTAGTCTATCAATCATTGTCGTCAAGCTCAACTAATGCCAGGCCTACAAATTGTGCTTTTCGATGGGACAAGCAATAAGGCCGGACATACATATGTATGTTAAGTATGCCGGTATTGAATCGAGATAGGCTGCAGTTAAGCTTGCTACAGTATTTAGACTTCAGGTGCGTGGGGCTCTTCAGGCAGCTAAAGCGCTTAGTATACGATGGGTGGTGTATGAACTCTGATGGCGGCATCCACAGGGCGAGAATTTCATTGTCTGTCGATGAATGTCGTTTACGACTTGTAGGTACAATGTCGGGTTCAGTGGTTCTTCCTTGCAAGTTTGTAGATATACCTTCTAATGTGCCTCGGAGATGCAGCTGATTTCATCCAGTTTCTGATAGAATACATAATGCGGTGGTGAAAATAGTTTTCCCTAAGGGCATTGAGGCCTCGCTATGCATGTGATATGCGGGCAACATCGGAAGGAATCCTGTGAAAGAGTGCGATATTCTGACAAGCCTGAAGCTCCGTTCACAGCATTTTATTACTACCCGTTAACCAAAAAGGAGCAGCGTAATTTAGACCCGCCGACCGATTGCTTTGTATGTTGCCAACAACCTCCCTTTGCCTCTGCCCCAAGTGCTACCGGCGGGTAGTCCGATTAGAGGACCTTATTTAGGAATATTAACCACCAGTATTGGCAAGTCGTTGTCGACGTGGGTGACTAATTGTCGGTTGTAGTACTTCGTCCTGGCGGTGTAAAGAGTTGACGTAGATTTCGTAGGGGTTAGGGTAAGTCTTCTGTACATTTACTTTGAAACACAGTTTATCAATGCCATTACCGGACAACAATAACGAACAATCGTCTCCGTCGGAGATCAACAAAACTCTCTCTGTTGCCTGGGGAAGCTCCGAGATTTATTTGGAAGTTTAAAAATAACGGAAAAGGACATTACCCTGTGGGACCTTTTTTTAAATTATTCTGGGCTTTGAGGTTTGTTCGTGTAAGAGTACTGTTGACAACTCATGCGATTCGCAGACCTAGTCAGAGACTTATCCTGCAGGTTAGATGAGTTAGGTTAGGTTAGGTAAGGTGGCAGCCAGGCGGGGAGCTCACTTAGACATTATTTAATTGTCCACTATGTTACCACAATGTAACTTGCCGGTAATCCGTACGAAGCTGGGATAATCGTTGGGTGCTCAAAATAAAGTTCCGCAGATAGCTGATGTCCACTGCCGAGAGTTCCTCGGAGGTATTGATGAAATGCAAGCTAATAGTTTAAACCATACCCTAGAAAAAGCTGGGCAGCTGAGATGATTTCCCCTCGTCCTGCAAATAGCTACCGAAGTAGGGGCCCGTGACGATATTAGGTCCCACCGCATGGGTTCCTTAAGCGCAGTGTCCGATCAGTATACTTGTAAGAAAAGAGAACTAAGGTTTAGTCAGTTGCTGATACCCCTTTGACCGCCCATGGTCGACCCCCGGCCAGAAAGACCTTGCAACTTTGCATACCCTGGTTTTTGCCCAGCGCCCGCTGAGTCGACTGTAAACACATCTGCCTAGAAGTAGTCCAAAATTAGCTAAAGGAACTCATATGCCCACCTTGTCCGGAGAGATTTGCTCAAGAGAACCCTGGCTATCCAATTTGACAGCCCTGCAATTTGGTGGTATGTCACTGATGAGTCCTGGTACCTGCTCTGACATTCCGGAGTGATATCCCTTACGGAGCATCATGTGCCTTGGAAGGCAGTTCGCTATGCGGCGGCGGGAGACAAGTGGTGTTACCCAGTTTTGTACTGCTGCGTTTGCCGTTGTGTGTATTGCTACCTGGTGGTGGTGGTTGGTAGCGTGGATGAAGGTGAAGTAATCGCTTATCCATTCACGAGTAGTGCATAGGTTAGAACACCTCATTATCCACGGACTTAGATATTGAATTTTCGTACAAAATATCTGTATTTTGTTGTTGCGCCACCAGGGTAAAGCCATTTTATAACCCGAAATCCGTACAGGGCAGCAGTGAATCATTAATTGTGTCAGTTGCTACAAAGGGGTTGCTTTTGTAGTTGCTTGATTTTGGATTTTTGTTTAATTTTTGTAGCGATATCGTTTTGGGTTGTGCTATGAGGCTCCAACTTTTTGCGCAAAAAATAACCGCATGGCTCGTACACTATTATAACTAGTTATAGAAAATAATGAAGCAATCGAAAAAATG